AGAGAGAGAGAGAGGGAGGGAGAGGCGTCACAGCATCCCTCCTCCTCCCGGAGGTTGCTGCGCATCTCCTTCTTGAGGTAACGCCTGAGGAAAGAGAGAGGTCGCAGAAGAGCCGCGACGGGCTGTTGGAAACCGGGCTGCCGGCTTGTACATCAGCATGCAGACCTCGCAGGAAGCGCCGAGTGCATCCCTCGCCAAGTGCTGCGCTGTGCTCTCTGGGCTTCGCGCGAAGCCCAGGGCGACGGTGGCCAACAGCCAGGCCAAGAGTTCCCCGAAGCTCACGCCGCCCTCGGTGCTTCTCGCAAGCAGGTCGCGAGTTCTCAGAGCTTCAGCCGAAAGCCAGGTTTCCGGGCGCTGACCGGCACGACGTACGGCACGAAGACGTCTCGCTTCTCCACCAGCTTGCTGCACTCAGGTGGCCTCGAAGCTTCTGCCACAGGGAACAAACAGCAAAGAAAGAAACTCAAGCAAAGGCGCTGGTGGATAAATCCGGAGCAGATTGCACGGACGACAAGATCCGCCGTGACGATGCCCTTGAAGCGCCAGCCGTTGACTCGGATCGCCTCAGGTCCCGGACCGCCGAAGAACGCGAGCAAGATCCTCATCTTCCCCTCTCCCCGCCTGGTCCGACCAGGCCTCAGGGAAGCAGAAAAGGAAGAGAAAGAGAGTGATCAAGAAGAGAGTTGCGGAGGCTTAAGGCTGTCCTAGTCTTTTGCAGTCTCCCTTCGTCTGAGCAGAATGCTACTTTTAGGTCAGTGGAGTTCTCCATTCCAAACCTGGTTCTGCGCTCTCCTGCTTCTTCAGTTGCGCGCTCGAGTCCTTCGGATGTCACTCCCTCTACAACGCAGCCCCACCATGGGCTTCGAGGACCTTGCGGCCTCGTGTGGCCTGGAAGCCTGGGAACCCCGTGTTCTGGGTGTCCTGGCCGTGTCTTTCAGCTGCTGTCTCAGCTTCCTGGCAGAGCGAGAGATTGAGCGAGAGGGCCCAATTGGCCCAAAGCAGCAGGCACCCTGCGGCAACACGAGCCGGGCTTTGCTCCACCTTGGAGGTCATCGAACACAGGACGATCTCGTCAGCGTTGATCCCGACCTGCCCAAGAAAGCGGGAGTTCGCTCGACCTCTCCGCGCTCGGCCAGGCGCGCGTCTTTCATGACCGCGATGGAGCACTCTTCGCCGAACTTTTGGGAACCCGTGCCGTCCACGGGGCACCTCCGCGTGGGCTGCGAATCGCATCTGTGGGCGCGCAGGGCTTCTGAGGCTCCTGAGGGGATACTTCTCCATGTAGTCCCAGTACTTCTCCGCGTACCTCAGCGACGAGCCCAAAGCAACGACCAACGCCGAGCTCGTGAGCTCTCGCCTGGCGGGAAAGAGAGGAGTCTGAGCTTCGCCGCTCGACGGCCTGCCCGCTTCGACTGACCTCCATGCTGCTCCTCGTCGGAGCCGTCTCCGAAACCAGAGCCAAGAAGCAAGAAGAAGAGAGGAGGAAGGGCACAAAAGTCAAAGCTCACTTTCCCCAGTGACACACACTCACGTAGACATTCCTTTGTGCGACCAAGCCAATCTCTGTCCAGTCTTGAGCCATGCTATTCGGCATCTTAGCATTCGTAAAGGCATCATGAACATTTGGGGGTACATTGGGTTCATATCATTTACAGGCCTTCGTCCTAACTTCAGTCGAGGATCATTCAAAGAATCAAAGGCACACAGCAACATTCGCGAAGCGATCAAGAACCAAACACCATTGCCACAGGCTACATTGGTCTCACTCCGGACGTTCATTCATTCGTGTCATTGCAAAAGGGGAGGCCTGTTGCACTGCACAAAGCATTCGCAGGCAGTCGGGCATTGATCCATACATCATTGCGAGCATTCCGATGCTGCAATCCACAGGAACCGTCCTTCAACATTCCAACAAAGACTTCACATTGCAAAACATGGGGAATTGCTGTAGCAGCACTCCTAAATTCATTCTGAGCTCACTCAGCTGCCTCATTTCATGCCCTTGGCAATCATGCGGAGGACACTCAATCTCTGTGCCGGGCTGCAGTGCATTGGCGACCTAGGCGATGGCAGTCGCAGAGAAGGAGACCATTCGAGCCAGTCGTTGGAGCATTCCAGGCATTCGGATCATTCGGCTGCTTTCTGTCATCATTCTCACACAAATCACCCCAGCTAGAGTCAGAGCAATCATGCTCCAGTCGACTGCGCTGGCATTGCACCAGTGGCACCGTTGTGTGGCCCATCCGCCTCTAAGGAGTTGAAGGTCGAGTGCCCTTCATTCGTGAGCAGCTCGAAGCCCTCGAGGTATGCATCGCAGGTCTGCAAGAAACTCGGGCGAAACACTCAGCCACTTGTGTTTCTTAGACGCACCTTCGCTGCCTCTCGCAGCAAGATACTGGCGGCAACCTTGGCGTAGAGTTATGGCTGTCGCGTAAAGTACCCTTCGCTTGGTATAAGGATCGACCACTTGTCTTCTGCCAGGAAGACATCCGAGCCTGCATGCCACCCCAAGGAGCTTGATAGCCAAATTTACCAGGGATTCCTTTTGGTTCTTCATCGTCGTAGTCGTCGTAGTCCATGCTCCCACTGCATCGGACCCTGCTCGTAGTGCTTGGTGGAAGCAATTGCATGACCGGCTCCTCACCATAGTTAAGGGTGGATTCAAAGTTCAGGGATGGGTGTAGATGAGTTTGGGGTGTTTCCAAACCCAGGGATGTGGAGGCTCGACTTTAAGGTTCGCGCTTGCAGACTTCAAAGCTGGGATGCAAAGTAGCTAAGTAGCTGCAGTACCCATGTACCGTGTCAAGCAGGCTGTGGGCATTCTGACGTGGCATTGCACCAGCGAGAAAAGGAGGGTTCGGGGCTCCGGGGAGTTGGCACAACCCGCTATAAGGTTTAGGGGAGCTCGTCCGTTGACAGAAGATGCCGCCCTTGCTTAGGTTTCAGGCTCCTCCGGCAGAATCTTCTTGCTCACCGAAACCCTCAACTTGAGCCTCAACCACACGAAACCTTAAGTTCTCCAGCTTCAATTTATACCCCAAACCCTGGACTCTTCAACCGCATGGGCTGCAAAAGAAGCCTCGAACCCGAAACCAAGGCCCTGAACCCCACAGTGCTGCAAGCTGTACCTAGCTTCCACGCGCTTTGGGACGTCAGCATCGCGGTGTCAGGGCTGAGACGCAAAGCCGTCCGTCAGCTCGCGATGCCCATTGAGATCCCTGCCAAGCCTTACAAGCCACAAGCCCCAAACCTTGCTCCCTAAACCCTAAACCTTGCAACCTAAACCTTAAACCTTGTACCCTAAAGCTCCAAACAGCGCTAATCCCTCAACCCCGACCTGCTACAGTCTCTCTGGGGCCCCCCCGCGTGTTCTCAGAAGCTCACAAAAGTCAGCCTCACCCGCGTCGTCTTCCTGGCTACTCGGCTGCGCAGTGTTGCAGGGTCTAAGTTTTAGGATTTAGGTTTTGCGGGTTTGGCTTAGAGTTTGGGGTCAATCCTGTTGTTTGCCTGCGTCCGATGTGGCGTTGCATCTGCGTAGCCGCGCAGCGGGGGAGCCGCGGCATCCTGCTGCATGTGTCCACCAAGTGGACGGCTGAAGCAGAGGATGCCGCACCGAAGGTCGTAATGTTTATGTGCCAGTGGGGATATGTTAGAAACACTCAACAATCAACCCTCAACCCTACCAGCCTTCAATCCTCGGCCCTATGAACTTCAAGCCAACCTTGTTATGTCCCTGATTCGGACCAAGCGTCGGAATAGAAAAAACAGCGCATGGCAGCCTCCGCCTGGGCCCTAAACCTTCAACCCTAAACCGCCCCGTAGCCCAAGGGGCCGAAGAAGAAATTGCAAGAGGAAGTTCCTGCTTCCGGGCTCCGGCTTTCGGCTTCATCCTAACTGAGTACTATTCTGTAAGTTTTCAGGCAGCTGTTTCTTTTATGCTTTGTTCTTGAAAAGCTCATCCTCAAAAGCCCTACCGAGAACTGTAAAGACCTCGCGCGGGCGAGTTTGGAATACCTCAACACCATGCCTATCCGCAACGCACGGTGGAACGGCTAGAGTGCTCGGCCCCCGGCGTGGTAGGCAGAAGACAGGGGGAGTCCCAGTCAACGCGATTTGGTGAAACCTCACGCCAAGGCACCGTTGACGACCCAACCAGGTAAGGAGGGCGCGTTCGAGCACCCAAGTTGTGACACCGCTAGGAACTGTAAGCCGAATAAGGCCCATGTCAACGGAAATGACATACACATGCTGTTGGGAGTCGACGGCCAGCGGAGAGTAAGTGCGCTGCGGAATCTGGAATTGAGGCACTGCAGGTGTCGTCGGCGTATCCGAGTGCACTCGGAGAACATCACCATCGCGAACCGGAGTTCTAACACCATCGTCAACTCTAAACTGTTGACCCGGGCAAAGAACCTGAAGGGCAGAAAGAACTGAGGGCCCCGGCCGCGTCCGGGACACCTCAAGACAGATGTACTCGCGTCCTGTATCCACGACGATAGTCACCAAGGCATTTTCCTTAGAGACAGCTGACAGCAACCAAGTGTATACTCCGGTCGAGTGGCTGTGGATCCCATGGTATGCAAGGACCTCTGCCCAGCGCTGCTTTGACTTCCAGTAGTCTCTCCCTATATGCAATTGGATGAGAATCCCCATCAAGGAGAAAGCAAATGCGCTCCCCGGGGCTCCACACACAAAACTGGTACACAGGAAAGCCGGCGTTCTTGTCAATGGCAACACCAAGAACTTGCCTAGAGTCAATAGACGTCAAGCTACGACTCAACGTTGCATGCTCAGCAACAGAAGCCAGGTTAGGGACCTGCTGAGCCACGACCCAAGACCGACCGAGTGAGCCAGACACAAGCCCGGATGATTCCGGCAACTGCACAGCGGGGACTGCGACAGCTAACAATCCCAGGAAGACAAGAGGAAGGTACCTCTGAGACGGATTGCCAAGCAAAATCACACTTCCCCAACAGTAGGTGCCAGTTGGCACTGGGTCGCCGAACTCCATTGCTGTCACCAGTGCTCTCATGTGCCTCATGGGCATGACCAATGCCTAGGTCCTCTGGGGGCACCCTAGGATCAATGTAACCCGCTGCCACATGCGAGTGCCGCCTGGTGACAACAATGGGTGCCGGGACAGCGGCTCTAAGCGGAGCAAACGGGTCAACGACATGCTCGCGATGCATCACATGTACTAGCCCCTGCGCCAGACTAGCACGCAAAGGATGGTCAGGGTCAGGTTCCCCATGATTGTGCACCGCGCAGTCAGTGCGTTCAGCAGGAGTGGCGCCTGTCGGAACTTGAACCACATACACACCACCTCCGGAAGGACGGAGGTCAACGACACCCATTGCCTCATCGTCATTGCAGTAGGCAGCAACAAACTGAATAGCTGGCAAGCGATCCAACGGAGGAAGCAACCTAGCAAAGCAAAGCTGGCCACGGGCATGAATCCTCAGATCAGCAGCAACTGCATGGAGGGCGGCAGACCGCAAGGTCAGATGATCAGCATACGATGGGAGGCAAGTGTATGTGTGGCCATGCAAGTGAAGAACAATAGCATTTGCTCCGCTCAAATCATGGTAGGCCAACTCACCGACGGTAGGAAGCGACAAACTCGTGCTGAAGCGGTCCTCTAAGGTAGGAGGCCTGCCCTCATTGTCATCAACAACAACCGAGGTAACCGCAGCCTGATTCATGGGCCAAACCTGAAAAGCATCCCCATCCGGGAGCAACAGGAGTCGGGCCGAGGGATGGAACCAACCCTGACTGGTGCGACACAAGAAAACAGGGCAGGGACCCAAGTGCTGCTCATGGATGGCCACCTCAGCAACTTCACCACAAGATGTGCATCGACCAGTAGTCATAAGCATAATGCGACCCCCCAGCGGGCGTAGGTCAACCGGAACCTGCACGAGATTCCATGCAAGTGAGCTTGGCGACAACACATACTGCTCAGTGGGCAGTGAGGGGAGAGATTCCACCCTGTCGTCAGCTACAAGAACAGTGGGCTGTTGTTCGTTCTGTAGCCGGTAGACACAAATAGTACGAAGAGCCATCGAGCCTGCCCTGAGCAAGGGTTCCACAATAGGAGCATTTGGGACCCGAACAGGATGAACTTCGCTGACGCGGGTGGCTTCATTGACACCGCTGGTAGTAAAAACCGGCTGTCCCTGTATAATGCTCTGTTGCCATATCTGACCCCCTTGACATGGCCAAACCGAGAGCCACAAGAGGAGTCCAACCTTGCAGTAGGAAGCATTCCGGCAACGCACAGGGGCAGGGCGATTTCGAGAAAGGGCTGCCTCAGCAGTATTCACGGAACCACCTGAAACAGTGCACACGTGTGGGCCACTCGATCGCCGCCTTATAGCAGAAAAGTGGACTGTACAGGCTCGCTGGAACTGGAACATCCTGTTGCTCCACAATGGCCGTAGGAAACAACCATTCTTGCGCAGTAGAGGGCGCAAATGAATAGGGATCCAGCAAATTGCCAACTGTGGCTTGTGCGAGCAGAACTGTCCCTTGTCGAACTCCGCCTGAGGCACTTGGGCACGTTCGGAGCTGGTTGAGAAACTCCTGAAGCCTGAGGCATACCGAGGCGAAGGCCCCTATGCCGTCTCCTTCCCCGAACGCTTGCAGCGCCTGCCACGGCTCCTCGGCCGATTCCAGCACCTCTTGCCGATGATCGGCCTCGTCTTGCAGGGGCAGTACTTCGTCCTGACGAGCATCCCTCATGAGATCCCCAACAGGTGCGGCCCCTTGGTCCAAGGCAAAGACCAATATCTGCTGCCAAGCCGACTCCCAGGATAGCAATACATCGCCACCATTGACTGGGGGCATAGGTTGTATATCCGTGACAGATTCCGGACGAGTGGCATCGGGTGTGGCTCCATGCAGCCGCCATCCGTGGCCAGGGTGTTGCCACTGGCTCGGCTCGCCGGGGGCTTTAGGAAGGACGAGTTCCTTCGTTGCCCCCTCTGCGCTTCCAGCGTGTAGGTCGCATGAGGACGTCGCCAGAAGAGCCCGGGCCTTGCACATCGTGGGTGTATTCCTGGCGAGTATCCACAGCAGGCCCTGCTGAGAGACCCAAACCCATCGTAGGATCCAGTCGGGCCACATCTTGCGGGACAGGGTCCACAGCTCCAGATACCCCAAGAGGCAAAAGGCTTGTAGCGGGAGAAGCCGGTAGCCCACCACCAAAACTGACTTCCGAGCCACCATCTGAGGTCCGGTTGGGCACGTCCACCACGCTGAATGCGCGGAGGGTAGCAGCTATACGTAAGACTTCCTGCTCCTGTATCGCATTCCAGATAGGCCTGCCAACCGCTTCTGTAGCAGCTGCCACCTGCTCCGAAGTAGTGAGCGATGGCTGCTGCACAAGAGCAGCTCTCATATCGCCCAAGGCCTCCATCAGGTCCGCATCCACCTTGTCGCCAAGCGCCCGAACACGTTGCACAAGCCCTGCAAGATGAATCGCTATTGTCACTGCCCGTTGCTGCAGTGAATTCCGTAATTCCTCCTTCGCCTTGACCGTAATTCCTCCTTCGCCTTGAGGTCCCCGGAGATTCTCTTTGAGAGTTTGCCTACTGCTGATGCACGACGCTGAGCTTGCTGTTCGACACTCATGTCTCCAGGTACTGTCGTTGGCGCGCCCCATAAATCCTGAGTGGAACGCGAAGTAATAGCCTGAAGCGAAGTCACCATGGCAGGCGGTAGCGCAAACTCGACCTTCGAAGTCTGGGCATTGCTTTCCGTACCCTTTCCCCGACCTTTCTGGGGCTTCGCGGCCGTCTGTCCAGCTGGCTTCGTACTCGGGGGCATGCTGCCGTGATGATTGAACAACAGCAGCCAATCGCTGCAAGCATAATGGCCCTGATGTAAGCGGGCCCGTGCTGCCGCTCTGGCCTTCCTTTGCCTCCTGTGCCACGGAGGGCTCCGGGGCCGCTGCGATCTGGTCGTGTCGCCGGCTTCCACCAGAACCAATCCAAATCAAAACGAATCCTGTAAATAGCAAAGGTAGAAGCAGCAGGTACACCCTGCAGCGGAACATCCACCGTTCCCAGGCCCACGTCAACGTCGGCAGCCCAGAAAATAGAAACCACTTGAAGTAGGAAATCAGTCGGCCAATTAAATGGCAGCGAATGAAAATCCAGAGGACAAGGGCCTCTGTGTAGACTGGGAGAGCGCCTCCCAGGTCCAGCACCTCCAGTGTAGGTGATTGGCCAATTGAATGGCAGCAATCGGTCCCTTCTCCGAGGGAACTCGTGTGCACTCCGGTGCACGTGCCACGCCCGAAAGCAATGGCGGCGCTCGGCCCTAGGGCGGTGAGCTGGGGTTGGGGAGCGCACAGAAGCCGAGCACGCCTGTAGGCGACGCCCAGCTACCTGTGCTCGAGCCGCAACGCCTCGGTGCCTAAGCTCTAAATCCTCAGGTCCTATGTCTTATCCAATCTGTGCGTGGGGGAGTCGGAAGATCTATATAGGCTTGTGCTCCAATCCTCTCTACAAAATCGGCCTTGAATCGTTTCCCATAGTTGTGAGATCGCCTGTCCGGAAAGCGACAAGTGAAGAGGAGCCAACTTGCAAAGCGGCAGCAGAGCCGAGGTGACCAACGCACATGACTGGATGAACGAGATGTCCACTCCCACTTCCCTGGATTCGACTGCAGATTGTAATCAGCCGACTGCACATGATTGTAATCAGCCGACTGCACATGTTGGGTGGAGGGCGCCGGTGCCGCATCTCCAACAAGTGGGGCTTCTTCGTGCATCAGCACAGTTGCCACCGTCCAACAACCGGCAACTTTAATCTCGCTTCGATTCAAGGCCCTTGTCTATTGTTAATGAACTGAGGAGGATGCAAGTCCAACAATTTGGAGATCGCTGATTGACTGAGAAACCAACTGAAGCACTTACTTTCAACAAGAATTCAAGACGGTGACCCATCTAAGTCGCTTGCTTCAGGCTCCGTACAGCCCTCCCGTGGCGTAGTCGGAGATCTTGTCGAATTCCTCTTGGCATGACCTCAAGGGGACCAGACTTTGCTTTCTAATGTGAGGGCTGTGGAGGGTGCAGGAGGCCCGTGTTCAAGCTCGGCCGAAGAGTTCCTTAACACGCCTCGGGGGTTCGGTTCCCACAGCCGAGTGAATCGAAACATGCTACAAGAACGTGTTGGCGTGTGGTGGCACTCTCTCACAGACCCCAACCGAAACAGCTCGATGTGGCGGCCGATCATGTCCTGCCGAGGTTGTCAGATCAGGGGCTTCGTCGAGGGCATGTTCGGCAAGTGATATGCCAAAACCTATGATGGGCATTCCTCGCGTGAAAGTGCAAGATAGTGCAGGCCTGAAGACATCTTCAGATGTTCGATTCAAATCAATGACCTTGGCTTAATGGCTTGGCCAAGTTTAGTCTATGATGTGTCGGGGATATTGCACAGTGTGTGTGAGTGTGTGTTTGGTGCACACAGCGGTTCAACGCACCATTCCGTACAGTTCAGTACACTTGCAGCACCACTTGCACAGGAAGAGTCTCGGCACGAGGCCACTCCTGTGATTCCATTTTCTCGGCTTCTAAGTCAAGCTCTTCTGTTTTGGCCTCGACACGATGTGCCAGCGCAGTGGGCGTGAGCCGTCACTCTGGCTCATGGTCGTGTGGAGTAGGCTCGAGACCAGTCCAGTGCAGGAATGAAACAGCCTTCGTCTTGAGCTCTCTTTCGAAGTCCTGCACGCGAAACCACCTCCCAATTCCAATTGACCACAATGTCCACAGATTCCACAGCAAGCTGTCCTTGAACCCCGTGCCATATCGGCTTATATCAGCTTTCTCCCCTGGTGGCACAAAGCAAACAGCACGCCCAAGAAGGTCCGCATTGGTTCAATCACTGGTGAGAGTCCTAGAGGTCTTGGAACGCAAACATGTACACTTGCAGTGGCCGAGAAAAACATGCCTGATCATTGCAGAAAATGCCAGCCACTCCAAATGACAAACACCCCTCAGACTGAAGTGGTGCCATCGTAAGCGTGTGCTATTCTCGGTGATATACCGAGATGGCTGAGCATTTTGGCGCTCGCTATGCCATATGCCTGGCTTGCGGCATAAGACGCTGGACCTTGAGAGGTTAAGTCCTCTGAGGAACCTCCGGAGGAATTGCTGTTGCTGTCATCACTAGAGTGTGACGGCATAATGACATAATGCAACAGTTTAAGTGAAGGGCCGAGCCCAACACGGGCTCCGCTTCCAGAAAACTGACCCAATCTCCCCCTCCTATGCGAGGACACGGGTGCAGTATAGTCCTTGTGGACCTAATGACTTGCCCCCGCAAAAGCTGCAATACGATTGCTTTGCTACGCACTGAAAGAGCTGGTATCATACAACCACTTGGGCCGACATGTTACGGTACATATATGTAAGTGGCTTGCCATTGCTGTAGGTACATGACTGCACTGCATCAAAGCAACCAAGGGGAGGGGGGAGGGGAGCGGAGCGGAGGGAGGGAGGGAGGGAGAGAGAGTGAGAGAGTGAGTGGAGTGACGTTGTCCGTCCTGGCGACCTGCAGAGCTTCAGATTTCGACTGCGACTTCAACTCCAAAGACAGCCTTGGTAGCTTCGTGGATGCAAAGCTGCCGCACATCCTCCTCAAGGACCTGCGACGACGAGCGTTCTTTCCGAAACTCGCGAAAGCTCTTTTGCCGTGGCGCCTCTTTGCCTGTCACTTCCCCGGCACCGTCGGGGTCCTGACCGGCTCAAGGCGGCGTGAGCCGTCTACCCGAGCGCAAGCAGTTCCGGCAGAAAGGGGTGATTCTGATCCGACAATCGAACCACGACATGCTGCAAACTAGCAGCGTTTCACACTCTATCTCCGGAAGTTTTCGTTCTATGGCTGCGCTGCTGCACGACGCCTGGCCCCTTCGAGTTGCAGTTCGCGGACGCAGTTCGCGGCCGGTCCTCGGCGCAGAACTCGCCCTTGCTGCCGGCGTTCTCCAAGCAGACCCCTGAGTAAACCGCCTGCAGCTGGTCTCCGATATGCTCAGTTGCTCTGTGGAGAATGCTTCTCATTGAGCTCTCGGCAGGGTCATTGGTGTCCATGGAGAAGACGGCCTTGTCTAGCAGTTGAGGCGCTTGTCTGTTTGGGGGGCGGGTGGGGGGGTGGGGCGCAGCCAAGGCTGAGATGCACACATAATGTGGATTGAAAATCATGACCTCGTTGAGTGTCCTTCGCTTGGGAGCGAAGTCCTGCCGGCACATGAAACGCAGTTTGAAATGAGAAAGGAGTAGATTTCTGCCCTCCGCGCCTTCAAGAACTGCATGGACTGACTGGAGCCCGAGCTCATCCACATGTCCATGGTGACCACGTGATCGGTTGGCAAATTCCAGGCGAGCTCGATGACGACCTGGTGACCGCGAAAACGGACAGAACAGGACAGAAGAGATGGAGAAAGAGATAAGGAGGGAGGCCGCCTCGGTGGACTGGGCCGCGCTGATAAGCTGCTGGCCATCCTCTTTGGAGATCAACACCTCTCCCAAAGGCGACGGCGGGGAATTTCAAACTGAAGAAATGCACCGTGGCTGCGATTCATTGATGCTTGCAGACGAGACGGATGAGACTCCGAAGATCTTCGAACCCCTTTGCCCACCGAGGGAATGTAAACACTGCTGCCGTAGCCGTCGTCGGCGACGATAATGTTCGCAAGGCTCTCGGCCGTGAGGGACGAATCCTCTGCCGAGCAGGAAAAAAGGACTGGAACACCACTGCTTGTGGCACTCAAACGGCCTCACGATCCACGATGATCACAGCGTGGGCACCCTTGTCCTGCGCCACCTTGACCTGCACAGACCCCCCACTACTCGCAACATCCGAACTTTGCCCGCGTCGGGATGATGGTGACTCCTACGCTGGGATTCAAGTTTCTGCTAACCTCTGCTAAGCGAAAGACCTTTACAGGCGGCGAAAAGGATGGGCGAAAGGGCCTTCGTCGTAAAAGAGCACTTGCCCCGACGCACCATGATAATGTTCAGGAGCTTCACCTCGCCGAAGGGCACACACTCCACTGGGACAAAGAGGGAGAGGAATATAGAGGGACACAAAGAGGGAAAGGGACACAGAGGGAGAGGGGGAGGGAGGCTCTGTTGCCTTCTCCTCGCTTTTGTGCCCTGCTGCGCTTGTGGTCGTGCCTTGCGGTAGCTACTGCCTTCCGTCTGGAAGGTCTCGGGGCTCGGGACGTCGTAGTCCTCCTTGGCTCATAGAGGCGCTTGCGCGTACACTTCGTCTCTTCGCGCGACTCTGTCTCGCCTGGCTGCAGTAGACGTCGTTTTTTTTCGAGTGGCCGTAGACCTCTGATTTGACAAAGAGCTGCAGAAGGACTGAGGAGGCATCTGGGGCTCAGGCGAGTCGACCCATCACAACATCACCATAAAAGGGTGCACCGAAGGTGGCGGTGGAGCCCGCGATCCTCTAAGATTTCTGCTACTCAGAGCCGTAGGCAGCACTTGGATCTCCTCCCACGGGTGCCATGAAACTTCGAAAGGAGCTCGGGCGGCGTGATCACCTCCAGCTGGCACCACAAAAGACGGACGGGCTGGGGAAAGGGGCTATGGCCCCGCGCGCCTTGATTTGGCAGTGGCCGAGAGGAAAGGCGAGGAATGCCAGCCAGGCCCAGGGCCAGGGCCCCGCCATGCCGCCCTGCGGCCGCGGCCCCCCGCCATCTGAAGACTCCAGGAGCCAAAAGGGGAAGCGCAGCGATGCGCAGCGAAGGGTGGCGAGTCAAGCGCCAGAACCTAGCCCCGAAATACGAAGCCTTTCCCAGGTCTCTGTGTTTCATGCTACAGGCCATTTCTGCACCAACAGAAGGAAGGCGACAACGTCAAACTCGAGCTTAAGAAAAATATAGAAAACTTCCGAATGTCGAAAAGAGAAAGAACCGAATGGAACAGAGAGGCGCAACACGTCGAAGACGTGAGACACTGAGAGAAACAGATGCTGAAAAACACACACAAAAAAAAAAGCGGCGTGGCGCAGCCAGAGCGGGCCGCTTTCCGAGACACGACACGGGCCGGGGCTCGCTCTCTCTCACTCTCTCTCCCTCCCTGTACATACACACACATACATACATATATAGAAATATATATATTACACGTATAGATAGATGGATAGATAGATAGATAGATAGATGGACAGCTATCTATTAGCTATCTATCTACTTGTTTATGTTAACTTGCTTGCGCGGCACCGCAGCACTTCGGCCTCTTCCTCTTGAAGGGCCCCAGCAGCCTTTGCATTGGCGCTTTAGCGCTGGCTGCACAGATTCTGGAAGCCCTTCAGGACACTTCCAGATTCGCAGCCCTGGTGGCAGGTCACTTCGTGACGGCCCCCGGCTTGCGCGCAGCTGCGGCGACTGGATCGGATCTCAGAGCGCGGCTTCAACGCCCATCTGCACCATCTCCGGGATCTGCTGCTGCTCGTACAAGTCCACATTACGCGCGTAAGGCTCCGCTTCTTCTGACCCTGCCGGGCGCTGCATCCTTCGTCGACAGCAGTAGTAGTCGAAGCAGTTGCAGCAGATGACGCAACAGCAGCAACACTTCGCTTTCACGCACTTCGCACACCTCGAACATTCCTGTCCCCATGCATGTGTCAACTCCGGGTTCTCACACTGTGCGAAGCACAAGGGAGAGCAACAAAGCAGAATTGTACAAACACTGATGGCGCATCCGATTGCAATTGCCAGAAGGCCCTTTCCCCTGGAGTCAAACGTCAACTCCAGCGCCCAATCAGAGGCTTCTCCGGTTGTGGTCAAGTCTTTCATTGAACCCATCACGATGAAGAGAACAGCAGAGACCTCAGGGCGGAGGATCCCCGTTGAGTAAAAAGAACAAACAAGCGCCCTCCCAAACTCAATGAAAGCAAGCGGCAACCAGGATCAGCATCATCACAAAATAGCATCGGCACCAGCATTTCTCCAGACTGCTGGCCTTGCCACCTCAGAGGCAAAAGCACAACAAGGGGGGGGGGGGGCCGGGGGCCCTCGGCTCTCGGCGCCTGGTTTGCAGAGCTCCGACAAGGCGGCTTTCATCGCTGGCCGCTGGCCGGAGCCGGAGCCCCTCTTGGGCTCTTCTTTTGCTGCTAGAGGTAGAGGTAGAGACCCCCCAGCCCCTTTTGGACTCTGAACATTGAAGCATCTTAGGGAACTTTCGAGGGCTCAGAAAACATCCCATTTGCATCGAAACCAGGGAAAAGAGCGCAGCAACGTTCGGAAAGTGGGCAAACTCTCCTCTTGAAGCTTAATTCTGCAGAGCCCGGCTCACATGGCGAAATGAGCTGCTTGACGATCATCGAACGTGAGCCGTTGCGCATTTTGATGCCGAGCCCTCCAGCGCTGCCAGTGGGTCCTATAATCCGACCTTTGGCACGACACCCCAGGTACCGGTCGGAAACTAGATGGCCCCTTTTTTGTGAGACTTGCTGCCTCATGCCCCCATCTCCTGCCAGCACGTGCGCACCTCGAGGGATGGCGGCGTGAGGATGGGCCGGGATAGGAGAGCTTTGACAAGGCTTGAAACGTGGGCTGCGCTGAGCCCCACGCAAGCATGGCTTCGGCACTTGGACCCTGAGCCATCGTGCGCCACAACCATCCCGGAAGGATTTCAGTTCCAAGCCTTGCAGCGCTTGTGGCGCTTTGCTTCGTCGTCGAAGAATCCAGGGCAGCTGAAGTCGCCTGAATGCGAACTCAACCCAGGCACCTCATGAACTGAACCTCCCTCTCCAGCTGTGATGTGAGCCCTTGTTGCGCCGAGGAACCGGAGACTCTTGAGAATCGGAGCTTGGCTTTGTCACAAGTTGGGCACACAGGCCTGGGACCCGAAGGGGCCGAGAAGCACTCTCTGGCTAAGAGTGCAGCGACGGCTGAAGCTCCAGGCGGAACACCCAGAGCCTTGGCTTCGGCGACGCGTTCCAGAAGCTCCTCCTTCCGTCCGGACCTGCACCGTATGGCAGCACCAGCAGGTCAACAGAGCTGAGAAACGGCTCAGAGCTTGGCTTCGGAAGCCCGTTCTTGTGAAGCATGCAGCCTTGGCTCTCGACTCCGTGACTTGCGGTCTCGACTCGGCCCTGTGTGCGTTCGTGCTCAGGAAGCAGCCCAGGGCAGCGACACTCTTCTTGGAGAGCTCTGCCTTGGAACAAGCCAGGAAGGAGCTAAAGGCGAGCAAAGCACAGCACTGCTCTGGCAGCCGCCTTGAGAGTATCGATAGCTTCCCTCTGCTGCGCTGACAAAGCGCTTGCTTCAGCATCTTCTCTTGCCTGAGACAACATGCCATACCCGACCGCACAGGTTCAAAGAGCTGCGCCTTCCCTTCCTCGGCAACCTTTGCCTTCTTCGAAGGCCTCGCGTACACACCACTTCTGCCCAAAACATGTCGCTGTGCTGCTATTCCTTTAGCGGTGTGGACCTGTCCGAGGCATCTGGCTTTCTCTTGCCATCCTGATATGCTGCGGACACCGCAGGGCAACGAGTGCCAGCATCTTGCCAGATGTGTAAGGCGCCCACCTGAACATCCTCGCCCCTGCAAGTCTTCAAGACTTCTTTGACCTCATGACAAGGACCTCAAGGACCCTCACGGCTAGCTGAGCTGCCTTCTTAAGTTCAGACCGAAGGCTCGGTCTTGATCTTCCTGTCTCAGGCTGTCAAACCCAGTGATGTCCTCATCATTCTCTGGTAAGTGTTGACGAAACCAAGCTGGCTTCTTGATCTTCGGAAAGCAGCCTGCTGACATCTGCAAACACTTTCAAGCCTTCAATTCCTGCACCGCTTCGACCTTTGACACTCTCCGTGCCCCCTAAACCCGGACAGCAAACTGCGCTCATCGCCGTGATATACCAAGCTAGGCAAGATGTGTTCACGCCTGCTGCCTGGCAGGCTAGAGACTCCCAGAGAGGACTGACTGGGAATGCGAACACATGTTCCTTTGACTCGAAGGCGATGCTAATAGCAGCGGCATAGCAGCATGCTGCATAGCATTCGTGGCCTGCATGATGCCACTTTGTCGCCTCTGCAGCGTGCCCCTTTTGCCGTTCTGCCGCATCCGCACCCGCCGCACCCTCCATGTCCACAGCCATCTTTACGCCAATTCGGACAGCATCTTTATCCTAGGCCAGGCGCGCACAGGCGGCGCATGCCTTAAAGGCTGCAACAGCATCGCAAACCCGATATGGCCCAAGCTCCCGGCAATCTTTTCCTTGCATTGTTTGCAGGCAGCGCGTCCGCTTTTCGAGTACTCCACTTCGAACTGGAAAGATGGCATTGTGCCGCAGCGAACGATGTGGGCATGAGCCAGCGGCTCTCAGTGAGAAGGTTACAACAGAATCCAGAAGAGTTGGGAAGAAGCTCTTCAACTACAGCGGTAAGGCACAACATGATATCAGCGACTGCCCTCGCTTCTTGTTCACCCTGAATGTGCGAAAGTAAGCTAGGGCTGAGGAGGCACACGCAGCTAGAAGCCGCATGGTCTCCAGAGCACCGAGATCTAAGACAGGGTGTCCGACCATGACAAAGCTGTCAGAAACAGCCGCAGCACTTCGTCCTGGCAGACTTCACGTTCAGCGATAGCATCTGCTGGGGGCTTATTTCAGTCAAGCATCTTCTTTGATCGCTTTTTCTTCTCGCTCTTCGAGCCTTTGCCCTGGCAGGGGTCTTAACGCCTGCAATTAAGACCCTGATGTGCAAACAGATACAAACAGAAATTGCAGAAAAGCAGGGAGAGCACGAGCCACAAAGCAGGAACGCCAACAAAGAGAGGGCCACGGAGCCCTCGGGCCCGCGAAGAGCCTTGAGGGGTTCATTTGGGGATACTATCTGCTTACTAAACCATGACGCACAGGTGCGCGTTATCTGTACAGTCAAGTCAAGTGTCTCATATCCGTTCCTCAATTGCAATGTCAGCCTAGACTTGGATTGCATCTACATGTGTTGGAGTGCCGGAGCAAGAGCAGGAGCAAGAGCAAAAGCAAGAGCAGGAGTAAGAGCAAGAGCAAAATCAGGAGCAAGAGTAAAAGCAAAAGCAAGAGGAAGAGCACAAGCAATAGGAAGAGCGAGAGTAAGCGCAGGAGCGAGAGCAATAGATGCAGCAGGAGCAGGAGCAGGAGCAGGAGCAGGAGCCAGAGCAGGAGCAAGAGCAACATCCTTCACAAGTGACAGTAGAGATAAGAATACCCCCGCTAATGACAAAAACACTTTCTGAGGTTTTATTGGGATGGAGGGGCGCCGTTGGATACTAGGGGGAAGGGATTACGTCTGGTACCACTGTTGTGTTCAATGCTTTGTCTCAGCTTTGTTTCCACGCTCTCGCAGTGCCACTTGGCACACAGAACAAGAAGCACTGCGAAATAGGCCAAGTCGGATCCCGGCCCCGCGCCTCGGGTTTCGCACTCTTGGTGGGAGCGAAGGGAGGCTCGGATCCTCAGAGAACGCGAGGACAAGATGTGCTCTGCTCTGACTCTGACTCTGCTCTGCTCGTCTGAGTCCTGCAAGCACCTTCTCGAAGGCCTGCAACAGTCACGGCGAAAGCGACAGCTCTCGAAACCTGCAAGGGCTCACCGGCTGTGTTGCTGGCACCGGGATGGCGGCCATAGGCCTGCAAAGAAGGGAGGGTGCTCACAAGGCCGCTCGTTTCGAACTGCCAGGGCCCAGGCGGGCTCACAAGGGGCGATCCGGCGGCGACAGGCATCGCCTCCGCCGCTGTTCGCACGCGTGCGCGGGCATGTGGAAGAAGTGGCGCGGTGCTGGGGAGTCTGCATTTCCTCGACCCACACCGGATATGGGGATGGAGGCGTTGGCTGGCGATGGCACGAACTGGGCCCACACAGAAAGCTTCTGTGGTGCTTGACGAGCTGACACCCGCAAGCTAAGAACTGCTCAAACGCTGCACATGCACCACAAAGGCCGGAACGACTCCGGAAGATGTCTGCATGGTGGAGGCCACAATGGGAGAGGCCGCGGAGGGCGAAGGTATAAACTTAGCAATGGCGCAGCCTATGATTCTCAAGCACCCCGTGATGCATCGACAGGCAAAGATCCTAAGCGTGCCACCACTCCTGAGGATGTTTGCACAACGGGAGTCGCCGATGTACCAGCCGCAGCAGCAACAGGAAGGGGCTGCTGCACGACTCCCTGGCACGGCCACAGCTTGCGGTTGAAGAGGTATGGGCACGAGAAAACCTAGCAATTCCGTTGGCAAACTAAGGTGAGAATTTGGTGTGGTATTGTGTGTGTTGTACCATCTGGACCCAAGAGTACTCACAGGACTCCGTCGAAGAATGTGTTGTGGCACATACAAAGGCGGACCACTCCAGCGAATCCGTCACTGACCTACTCTGGTGTGTAAGGGTCTCTTAGGTGCTCCGCACAAATCCACCCAGCTGACCCAGCCTGACTTCCAATGCTTTGCATCCAAGGAGGTGCCTTGGGCCGTGGCCGCAGACACCCCACCCAAAGAGCAGAGAAACAAGCAAAGGCAACAGGGCCTGCAAAGGATCTGCTGCACCACCTACTGATGCCCTTACAATGCCTTACAACTTACAAGTCAAGCTTCGACATTTGTGCGTTGCGCTCCCTCTTCTTATGAGTGAGTGCCCGGCAGGCAGCGAAGCAGAAACAGGGCCTAGGACACAAGCTGCACCAAGCGCGCTGGAATCTGTGGAATTTCTGGGGCGCAGGCCTGTCTGACTAAGTGTTGTGGTGGTGACTCCGGGAGCAACTGTAGCTGGGGTCACGGTTGCAGCAACAGGAGACCTCCAGACAAGTGCATTCACCAAGCATGTCTCCCTGTACAGCATCGACCTCGCCTGGCATAAAACCGGTTGGGGCCACACCTCACGGAATTACCCGACTCTGCTGCTGTTCGCAACAAATACATACCAAGAAGCTGGGTCGCCCACACGCGATCTGCATCGCACAGCACTGCGCCTGCTCTACGCAACGCAAACAAGGCCTGACTGGACAAGCGCCTTGCATGCCCATTTCTAGCCGCCGCCGACAAGCTCTGAACAAACTAAGCCAGAAAACCGACGGAACGAGACGTTTGGCTGTCACTGGACTTGCCTTGGAGCCCTTGCCAAACCTGTCATCTTGGCACTGATCTTTGAATGTATCAAAGCCAGAAAGGATACAGCGGCTACATGCGCCTGGTAGACTGGGTTCGCAACCGTAGCTGCTGCTGGCGCTGCGACTGCCGGGGTAGTTTGGGAGACGGTCATCACAGGTGGCACCGACTCCGGTGGCAAGGTGACGGCTGGAGCAGCTGTCCTCAGGTGTTTCATGCACCGTTTGCGAAAGGCGCAGTTCAAACAGCCATGTGAGAGCCGGACACCATGATACTCTTTCAGAGACTGGGCGGCCCCAGCTCAATACACACCTTGAACCTATGGCAGGCGAGCAGCGCTGGAAAGAGTGAAGTGTTGTATGCGCTGTGTGAAATTGTGGGTATGCTTTGACAATTGCAAAAGGCCGAACGCGCTAACCGCTAAACTGCAAGAAGCAACAGTTGGAAAATTAATAACTTGAGCAACACATGTGACGAAGCACCCCAACGTTGACAAAGCTTCATGAAACAACTGCTTGCATGCAACGAAAACCTGTGCTCGAACTACATCCTTGAGTTTTATTGACTGAGAAGGCTTCTTTATTCGCCATGTCAAAGCACATGCTTTCCTGCAAAAGTGCAAAATGCACTTAAGATACAAGTCGTTTTCTGCGGTTTGGGGGTTGTCCCATCGCCGAAATAGCGTCTGACACTAATTCCTTTTTTGCGCCTTGGGGCCGCCTTTCCTTGCCCCGCCCTTCCCCTGCCCTCCCATCCCTGCCCACCAGGTCTCCCATGACTTGAAGGTTGAGGCCCTGTTCGGTTCCGGAAAGGGCTCCGAGTTCGGGCTTCCTGTCAGAGTCAAAACTGTCACATTTGTTACGCACACTTCGCACAAACATTTGCACGACATGCACAAGGAGCTTCAGGAGGGTCCATAGGAAGACGCATCCTCGGAGTGCCAGCGATTGAAAAATTTTACACTCCGCTCCAAGATCCCACCGGCAATGCCACCTCTGTCCGCAGCTGTACTGTCAGCGGGTGAAGAAAAACGCAAACGCACAACCATCATTTCTTGAGCCATGATTTCACACTAATCTTGAATCACAAGTGACACTGCGGACTACAGAACACGCAAAGTAGTTATAACAAAAAAGTGAAATCACAAATATAGGCGGGCATACGTGGGGGTGAAGTGTTCACACCCCGCCTCGACGCGTGGATTCGCAACGTTTCGAAGAGTTTGCATCACCGTTCATGTTGAAACAACTGCACTGAATTCCAAAAGTCTGCAATGGTGTACATAGGCGAAAGCTATGCCATAGGAGGTCGTTTCGTTGTCACGGTATTGGGCTCGTACGTTCCGTACTACGGCTACGACTGTGCAGCAGCTCTGTGCGGAACTTTGTATACAAGCCTGAAAACCCTGCACACAGAGGTTGTTTTTTCTTGCTTGCGCGTGAGCAATCAAGTTATTCATGTGGGCTCATGCACATCAGTGTCACATCAGTGTCTCCCGCGACTTCAAGAACTACGACACTGTATGTAGTGGGCGAGCTGCACGTGTGCATGATGCGGGCTTCAAGCTGCTCCACAGCTATCGAAATTGGTCCGTGGGAATTCTCAAGATTGACATGCCAAAATGGCACGTGAAGGTGCAACGCTGGCACCATTTGCTTCAACAGCTTTTCAACGATGCGATACACAAGGGACTCATCTGCCAATGGATTTTTCTTTGGGGATCAAGCCACTGGCTGCGTACGACGATGGCCAATGCATCTCTCTCTCTCTTCTTCGCCAGGCTTGGGGAGCTGGTTAGGCCCCCCGGCCGTTAAGGCCCCCCACGTGTTATGGGGCTTTGAGGAGGCGTGAGAGCCGGGTTTGTGACTTCGTGGGGGGGCTTGGTTTGTTTTGAACACGGGAACAAAAATGCACACGCCTAATGGCTAAACATATGTAGTCACATGTCAAGTCCCCCTCGGCATTTCAATGAGTTAGCTAGTGTTGCGTCCGAGCATCAGACGTGGTACACTGTTGCAACATGTGGGGGCATGCTCCGGTACACTGTTGCAACATGTGGAGGCATGCTCCATCATAGTTCGGCGAAGGGGGGCTTGAGAAGGGGGG